GGAGCAGGTCTAAGCCAGCAGGTGGTTATCTCCTGAGGGGTCGCAGACTGTGAGAGGGCACAGGTTGGGCTGAGGGACACCCCCCCCCCTCCACCCAAGTGCACGAATTTTCATGCACCGGGCCTCTAGTAGAAATATATTTAGGTTCTTGGGAAAAGGAAGAAAAAGGAGGAAGTGCTTTGATATAGACAGAGAATCCATGACCCTGATCACAGAGACATTTTCATCTCCCAGAGAACATATTTCTTACAAGGTTAAAGAAATGATGCAGGGATTAAGCCCACCCAACTGAGTCACACCAGCTTGGGTACTAATAGATATATTTTAAATAAACTTACTTTGTTTCTAACCAAGGTTATGTTAAACTATTGCATTGTAACTGCAAATGGATAATCAACATTCCTTACCAAAAATAGAAAGTAACCATAAAAATAAATACAGAACTATTGAAACAAAATATTTGTCTATATACCTCTAAAATTGTTTCCAGAACCACCAGTGGTAAGGGCAGTAGTTATGGAAAGGTTGACTTAAGGCCTAGTAGCCTGTTCTCTATTTTAGCCTTTCTCCCTGCCTCCAAATGACCATTAGAGAAAAGACCAACAAACCAGGGCCTCAGACCCTTCCCAGGAGACTAGAAGGGAGGTGACGTGTAAGAAAAAGAGAAGATGTCATTGTAGTCGTTGTCTCTGACGCCCATGTAGTGCTGGAAGAGTGAGATTGGTGGGGGCCGGGGGGGGGGGGGGGCACGTGTCCCTGTGCACAGGCTCTGCCAGGGCCGTGGTTGCTAGTCGAGGGGAGGACACGACTGTTAATTTACTGATTTGGGGTCAGTGGAGCGTTTCTCCTGGCTCCTCCCGCGGACACGGGGAGGGCGGGAAGGGGCGTGTGGCTGCCAGCAGGGCCTCCGCTGACTTCCATCCTGGCCCCTCCTGCGTGCGGTCGTCTGTGGGAAACGGCAGAGGACACGCTGACTTCCCGTGGTGCCCTCCCCTGGAGTCAGGAGGCTCGTGGGCCGGCGCTGACCTGGTCAGATCCGAGACGCCAGGGCTGTTTCACTTGGGACGTGGCCGGTGCCTGCCTGCCTGTGGCCCTGGGCGGAGGCGTTTCGGTCCCAGGCCGGCCTGACTCTGCCCTGCTTCCTCCCTTAGGCGCCTCAGCCTCCCGGCACCGCGTCCTCCGAGCCCGGCGACCAGGACAGCAGGAGCTCGTCTCTGCAGGCTCCCTTCTCTGCGGGATGGAGCTGCATTCCCCTGCACGGTGTGAGCCCAGAAGTGAGCGAGCTGCTGATGGAGGCGCAGCTGCTCCAGGTAACCCTTCCTGAGACCCAGGAGCTTTACCAGACGTTGCTCGCGAAGCCCAGCCCTGCCCAGCAGACGGGCCGCAGCTCCCCAGGCAGACCCGGCGGCAAGAAGAGCGACTGCTGCCGGGCGAAGCGAGAGGGAAGCGGCAGCCTGGAGAGGAAGCTGAAGCGCCGCCCCGAGAGAGATGGCCTCGCCGGCGAGTGCTGGGGCCGGGTGCGGAAAGTGTGGGCCCCCGGGAGGAAGAGGATCAGACTGGGGCCCCCCCAGGACACGGACGCTTTCCAGTTAGAGAGCGAGCGTGGCTACACGCCCGTCCGCTCCGCCGACACCCACTCCCTGCCCTCGGACACCTCCTCCTCGGAGCAGGAGGACCCTGAGGACGAAGACGCCATCTGCCCGGCTGGGAGCTGCCTGCAGCCGGAGGGAGACGAGGTCAGTGCGGCTTGGCCTCGAGGACGCGCTTCCCCTTAGCTCCGCACCGCGGTCTGTCTCTCCTGCTGCCTGCTCTGCTCTGAGTGATCTCCTCTCCACCGGGCTCTGCTCTCACCAGCGCTCCTGGGTCTTCTCCCTTTTCCTGAAGAAACTCTTCTCTTCCCTCCTTCCTCTTCCTGCTCCTCCAGCGTCACCGCCCTGGCGCCGGCAGGTGGGGGGGTGCGGATGACGCCCGTGGCTCAGAGTCACCGGCGGCTGTCTCGGCCCCAAGGCAGCCATCGTTTTCCAGAACTCTTTGGAAAAAAGAAAAAAAAAACAACTAAAAATTTTTTTTGACAAAAAAAGAAAATAAAAAAGAAAAGAAAAAAAGACTCTGTATTGATCTTTTAACACATATGTTTGCTACCAGAGGAGTTAAGGTTACTCCCAGCCAGACAGAATGTTTTATTCAAAAAGTATGTCCATGGCTTCCTGAGATGCTCGGAGGGGCCTGCCCGGATGCGCCCGTTCTCCTCTGAACACCCGTCTCCCTGCTCTTTGTAACCAGGTGGACTGGGTCCAGTGTGATGGCAGCTGCAACCAGTGGTTCCATCAGGTCTGTGTTGGCGTCTCCCCGGAGACGGCGGCGAAGGAGGACTACGTCTGTGCGCGCTGCGCGGGGACGGCCGCGCCGAGCCGGAAATAAGCCCGCCCCTTGTGTCGTTCAGGACTCACCGGGAGGGACCGCAAAGCCACAGGACTGGGTCAGACCAGCCTGTACTCGGTGCTATTTCTATTCCGAATGGATCGTTTTCCAGAACTCTTTGGAAAAAAGAAAAAAAAACAACTAAAAAATTTTTTGACACCTTTTGTATTTTTTCCTTAAGAGCTGTTTGTGGTTGTGGGGTGACATGCTGGTGTGTGGCGGGTTCCCACCCACCGAAGGCTCTGGCGCTCGCCCCTTCGCACGCACAGCTCCCCACGCGCCGCCGGATCCCCGCCGCGAGCCCAGCTCCGTCTCGTGCCCAGAGGCACAGAAATTCCAGTAAATCCTCGTGGGAGGAGTTCTCCGTTTACTGTTACCATATTGGGAACTTGAGTTTCACTTTGGGGTTTTGTTTGTTTCTTTATCCGCTTTTCTTTTCCTCGTAGACTAGGTTTATTTATCTGAGCAATAACTTCCATGTTGTTTCAGTGGCTGGAATTAAAACAAAACTTCCGAACAGCGTGTTGGTGTTGAGCATGTGGTTGGTTGGCGTGCGGAGCGCCCGTGTCGGTCCCGGTGTCGGACCGGTGTCCCCGATGAGCTCGTGACCTAGAAAGTGCTGAGGGCTGCCCAGCATGGCTGTCTCCGGCCGCCTCCTCCCCTGCTCTTTTGGTAGCTGGTATCACATGAGGCGATGGCTTTGTGGGTGAGTGCTTGGTTCTGCGAGAGCCACCAGGCCGCCGCCCTTCTCGCTCCGCCAGGGGCGCGTGCGCTGGCCTCTGCCCAGCGGGCCTGCAGCCGCCGTGGGCAGTGCTGCTCACACTCAGGGCCGTGGCCCCATCCCCGCCCCCCAAGTGTCAGGATAGGAACGGTGTCTGGCGCCTGCTTCCTCAGAACGGGCAGGTCGCTCCCAGACTCGGAATCCGTGCTCCGTGCAGGCGTGGCCTCTCGTTACATGTGAGCTGACGGGGAACTGGGTGCCGTGTCAGGAAATCAAAGGGCTTGGAAGCAGGGTGTCGCCTGGTCTGACGGGTGATGGGCCCACAGACAGAACGCTCCAGGTGCCGTCTGGATACTGCGATTTGGCCTTTTTAAATGTCCACATCCTTAGCGCCCCGGCCCTGGGGCAGGATGCCCGCTGCCCGCGGCGTTGGGACGAGAGGGACACTGAGGAAGCTGTGCTGCAGAGAGCGCCTGCCCACCTGGCGCCCGCTCCCGCCCACCAGCTCTTCTTTTTTAAAAAATATATTTTGTTGATTTTTTACAGAGAGGAAAGGAGAGAGATAGAGAGTTAGAAACATCGATGAGAGAGAAACATCCATCAGCTGCCTCCTGCACATCTCCCACTGGGGATGTGCCCGCAACCAAGGTACACGCCCTTGACCGGAATCGAACCCGGGACCCTTGAGTCCGCAGGCCGACGCTCTATCCACTGAGCCACACCGGCTATGGCCCACCAGCTCTTGTTCACCTGTGGGTTGTACCCAGTCCCGGCCAGAAGCACCTGTGTTGGGGGGGGGGGGGGCCGGTCTGCCTCGCTGAAGAGGGGAAAGCAGGAGTGAGAGCCGGGTCTCTGGTGCTGCTGAAGGTCAAGAACGCCAGCTGCTGGGCGGTGGGCCAGCTCTGCCCGAGCCCCGGTCCCACAGACCTCTCTCCTCATGGCTGTTTCTAGCTCAGGGCATTGCCTTCCAGCCGGCGCCTGGGGTGCCCAGGACGACTGCAGAGGGGTGTTCCCTGAACACCGTGTGCTGAGGGTTCACTGTGAAGCCAGGCTGTGTCCCACAGAAACGCCTGAACATGTCAGTCCTCAGGGTCGTCGGGTAAAGAAAGAACCTGGTGGGCGCGGGCCAGGTCCAGCGTCCGAGTCAGACTCGGGGCATTTCTCACGCAGCCTCCGGCCTGAGGGAGTCTCGGACGAGCTGTGGGAGGCCGGCTGCTGGCACCTTCCTCCCAGCTTCCCAGGAGGCTTCTGTCTCGAGGTTGGAGCCAGCGCGGCCTCCTGTGGGGGGAGCTGGTAGAACCGAGTCCCCACTTCATTCTGCCACGTGGAGCTTAGAAAGGCGAGAGGGGAAGATGCTGAGATTGTGGATCTCGGACTCGAAGCCCCATGTTGGGAAGAAGAGCTGAGGACAGCGAAGATCACGGAGCACAGCACGGGGGCCTCACAGCCTTGCCCGGCCCTTAAGCCTCCGCTTCCCTAGATGGGGGGGGAGGGGGGGGCTGCGGGGAAAGAGCCGCCCAAACAAAACATTGTTTCAAGTAGGAACTTACATCAAGGAAAACTGTTGTAGACCCATTTTCAAAGCTTAAGGAGTCAGTCTGTAAAGCGTGTGCTTCCCTCCTCCCGGTGGCTGCAGGCGAACGCAGCCAGACTTGCATCTTCAGGTGAACGTTGGAGCCAGCAGGGGCCGAGCCGCTCCTGCTCGTTCTGGGTCCCTGTACCAGGACGCAGGGCTGGCGTGACCGGTGTGGATGTGTCTTGTTTCCAGGGCCGCCTGCTGCGCTGGGACAGGATGGGCAGACACGTGATCTGTCCCAGGTGAGTGAAGCGAAAGGCCTATTCGTTCTCTCTTCCCTCGGACGGGAAAGTAGAGAAATTTAAAAATTGCCTTTCTGAGGAAACCAAGTTCCTTGCTCTATTTAAAGCAAGTGCCAAAGACACCCCCTCTTCCCAAGGAAACCGAGCTCCTGGCAAACATCCCTGGTTGCAAGCCTGCCCTTGCCAGTACTTTTCCGTAGTTCTAGCAGGAACACGGACAAAGCAAGCCCCTTTGCCCAGGCTTGGGAGAGGAAGGGTGACCGAGGATGAAAAAGACGTGTAGCCCGGCTGGTGTTGCTCAGTGGTGGAGCATTGACCTATGAACCAGGTCACGGATTCACAGTTCGATTCCCGGTCAAGGGCACATGCCCGGTTGCAGGCTCTACCTCCAGTGTGGGGCATGCAGGAGGCAGCCGCTCAATGGTTCTCATCATTGATGTTTCTATCTCTCCCTCTCCTTCCCTCTCTGAAATAAAAGTTTATAAAAATTCTTGCACTCATTTCATTGGTTTATGTAATAATTAAAGCAGTCACTGTAGAAGATCGACTGTTGCAGAGCTCGGAACAAATACCACTGAACAGCTGAGACGAGAGGAGGCTGTGGGTGCTGGGCGGGCCCGGGCCAGGGGTGATTTCTCAGAAGAAATGAGCTGGTTCGGAGGGAGGGGAAGCCCCGGGTCTGGTGCTGGCAAGGCTTCGAGGCTCCCAGGAGATGCCTGGAGCTCCTGGAGCTGCCCCCAGCCACGGATTCAGCCACTTCCAGCAGACGTGGGATTCTGCTCTTTTAATGCTGCTAGTAAGTGGTCACGTGGCTAGTATCGGTTTCCCTAAAGAGGCGGCCGGTGCTAGAGAGGGGGCTTTGCAACCAGAGGAGGAGACTGACCTGGGCTGCACCTTGTTCTAGGGGAGCCCGTCTCCAGGGCTGGGCTGGCTCCTTGTTGCAGGCTCTGGGTTTCAACCCGACCCGAGCACATGGGTCCCCGTGCTGGGGAGCCGGCTTCATGCCTCTCCCTGCCCACACTCTCCTCTCGTTCCAGACACAGTGGGCAGTGTGGCCTGGGGCCACGGCCACCAGTAGGTCACTTGCTTTTTTGTGGCCCAGGTGGTGAGGCCCTTGTTTCCTAGAGAAGTCCAGCGGCCATCTCCAGCTTCAGTGACCATAGTCACAGGACAAAATGCCTTAAGTATCCCCCTCACAGACACAGGACCGATGACCAGTGCCCTGTTCCACGGCGCCGCTGGCCTGCCCAGCCTGACGCCACCTCATTCCCATCCCACTCCACTGGCCCTGCCCCCCGGCTCCCCACCCCCCAGATATATTCCTCAGGCATAAGAGGGAACAGCTTTGGGTGGGAACTGCGTCCAGAAAGGAGGGCCGTTTGGGGAGGGACTGAGATGGGGGTGTGCCTGGGTAGAGGCTCCCAGAGCTATGGCTGAAGGCAACTCTGGCTGCCACTCCAGGCTTGGCCACCAGAGGGCACCACGAGTCCCCGCAAGAGCCATGGATCTTCCTGCCACTTGGGGTTTGTCTCGCTTACACCGCTCACCAGGTGAACCGTTACTAATGCGGATTCTTCCCAATCGATGGAGTCACAGGTATGTGGACACACATGCGATTTGATATGGATGCTATTGTGCTGTATTGACAACAAGCTTCAAAACTCCATACGTCAAATTTGCTGAAGATGTTAGCATCCTAGATATTTTCACACTTAAAAATGTCGAATTTCATGCCAAAAAAAGAGCATTTGCAGGAAGTTTTAATTCATTATTTTGAAGGAAAGTGCTAGCGGTGGAATTACTTTGACTAAAGCACTTTTGATGTTTCTCTTGAAATTATCATGTTTTCGTTGATTACAAAATCCGAATTATTAACCGGTTAACAATCCGCACAGTTAACAATCCGCATGACTAACCAGTTAACAATCCGCATGACTAACCGGTACACCTGGAGCGGGTGCGTGGAGGCAGCCTTCGGTGCGTTTAGGAATTCTGGGCTCCATCCCCTTCCTGAACACCACCTCCCGGCCGTGGCCTTTGAATAGGTTTATTGATGGGAAGAGTAGAGATGAAGGACATGGGTCCTCTGGGTCCTGGGAGGCTGCAGGGAGAGGCCGGCCTGGTCGGAGGGCACCTGTTATTGCTGCCCCAGAGCCACCTCAGAGGAGAAGGGCCAGGACGGGCCTGCGGGAGGGCTGGCTGGAGCCTCGGGGCCCACAGACTGAGTGTGGGGAAGCATGGGGGGGGGGGGGGTGGGCACACAGGACTTGGGGGCCTTGGAGCCGGTGGCTGAGCCAGACGGAGTTTCCCATGCACCGTGACCTCTGCCGCGTCGCCGAGTTCTTCCGATGCCTCAGAGCACTAAGTGCCGGACCCTGTCTGTTCTTAGGGCTTTGTGTGGGCTTAATTCTAACACGTATGAGGTCACACGTCCCTGTGGGTGTGGGCAAGGGTGGCTGGAATCCCAGTGCAAGGCTGTGCCCCTGTTGGCTTTAGAGCTACTTTCATTGCCCAAAGCATGATTATGTGGCCACCTGTGTTAGGAGCCTGCTCGGTGTCAAACGTATTACTTGACCTTTGCACCTTCATCTGTTAAACAGAGAGAGAAGCCGAGGCTGTGGAGAGGTGGAGAAACACACCTCCGGTCACTCAGCTTCCTGACACCAACCCAGGGTCTTCGCAGAGATCTTCAGCTGCTGGTGTCCTGCCCCCCCCCCACCTTGCTCTTCGTCGCCGACCTGGAGGCTGGGGCAGGGAATTCCCGGCCTCCTACGAGGTGGAGTTGGTGCTCTCTCTCAGGTTCCCACGCACCTCCCTCAGGTGACCGGTTGCCTCAATCTCTGAGCTGGTCCAGGTGAGCAGCAGGCCCCTCCCCTGGCTGACCCCTGGCAGGCAGCATCCCAGGAGGAGGTAGGGTTTTATTGACCTGATGGGTGACTGAAGTTTAAGAGCCTTTGTTCCAGATTTGCACTCACAGC